GTCGAAGCTTTTGATTAATTAATTTGAATGGTCCCGTAGTTGGTGATGAGAAGTTGAAAGCCTTGTTTTCAAATTGTAATAGCCGTATATTTTTTAATATTTAAGGAGATTTTTTTTAAAACAGCCATTCCTCAATAATGCCCAAACCAAATGAAACTGATTTTCGTAAGTCGACGGAATTAACTGTAATTTATATATTTTATCACATAATCATCAACAAAAAGTTGTAAAATACTTTGGGCCTAATGTAGCCATATCGTCGATACTAGAATTAATCCCTTTAATACATTCTTTATTATGCAGTGCACAGTAGGTGCTATTACATTAAGTCTGTTTTTTGCATAAGGTCCAGAGCAGATTCAATCGAAAACCATAAAATTACAATCAGTCGAATTTAATAAGAAGTAAATCCTCATCAACTCAATCAAAAGCGAAGGCTTTTCTGTTTAACGATTTGCATAGTGCAAGTCAATGAATAGACAAGTAGTAAAGCTCTTACCATCAGTGCTCTTTGTAATTTTTATAATAAAGTAGATTACGGCCACACAAGTCGCCATCGTGTTTGAATTCTTGTAAAAGGCATATTGTTTCTTTTGTAAACTTTTTTAATAATTTTTTCATTGATTTATGAAGTCGAATTTAAAACAGATTGGACTGATAGCTGTTGGGTGGAATTGTTTTATCACCGTATACTTGCATATGGGAGAATCAATAGCATGCAATGAATCGAAAAAAACCACAGAACCAAAGGTCCGATGAACGTAAACAACACTGACTAATTCAACTCATCAATTGTTATTTTTACCTTTTCCAAATTTATAGCTGTTAAAAAAACTTATTGTAAATATTTTTCATTAATAGGATTGGTTGCTATATGTAAGGTATTAGAAACACTTCAAAAATATGAGTTTATTGTATGTGCAATTCCAACGTGCAAATAAACTATAATGGCGTCATTGTATTTAATTTCATTTAAATTAGTATTATTTAAGCAATGGTTATTGTATATCACTAGAAATTGCAGCACTACAAAACGATTTCTCAAACTCTCTAATTTGAATTTCAACTATTTTCCCTTATTTTTCAAAAGTTCATTAGCCCTTATATCATGAGGATATCTTCATTTATATCAGAAAAAGGAGTCACGAATGTTCATTGTTGTATTAATTCAATCAAAACTCAAAAAAGTTTTTTTGAGTTTTGATTGAATTAGTACAACAGCAAACAGGATATAGATAGCTACGAAATCTATGATTATGGTCGATATCACAATATTAATTAACATATATTATGTAATGTCGGATCGAATCAGAAATGTGTAATCTTTTCTATAAAAATAGATGTTGGAACAATTTGTGATAGTCTATGTTGCAGGAAAAATAGCATCTTCAAAATTCTTTAAAGCCTTGATATGTTGCAAAATTTAAACATTATATTAGTTTTGCACGTTTAAGAAATAATTATGAATTACCCTGTGACTCTCTGTGAGAGTTATTAAATTCATTGAGCATATGCATAAATAAATAAATAAATAAGAAATTGTTGAACTTTAACAAGTATTTTTAAACAAACTTTTTACGTATTTTTGATTCATTGTAAGAAAATGCCAAAAGCGTTTAATTTATCTTCATAATGGGTAAAGTTTTTTTCTTTTTTAGAACGGAAGTTACAAGCAAAAAAAAATAGGTGTATTAAAATTTTGTCAAATTTTATTAAAACCTTTGTAGCTCTGAAACGTTTCCGATTTAACACTGTTCCGAACAAAAATTTTTGCCCATTAACTTCTACCCAATGGTATATGGCTTCTAACTTGTTGCTGAATCAGTTTGGATATTGTTTAATTTTATTTTCCCCATTTAAATTTCTATTTAATAGCGCAGTTTGCTACACTTTTTGATAGACTTAATAGAATAATTTTCTTTTTATTTTTAACTTGTGAATTCTTATCCATTACTGAGTCCAGATAGTTAACTTTAAGCTCCAATTCGTTATAATGCTTCCAGTTTTGATTGATTTCATTTAGCTCCTATTTTCCAGAGTTACAGTTTTTAGAGCTTTTATAATGTCTTCCAATTGATTGGATATCAAGACATCATTCATTACATTTATATTCAAATTTCTGTATGAAGTGGAAAAATTTGCAACATCATTATTCTCTTCATCAGCTACCACAAATGATTCATTTTTTGAAGGACACAGTTGACATTTCTACAGAATAAATTCAATTTTATTTTTTCAAATGGATCATCTGAGTCATTTACGCATTTGGCATGAAATATTCCACCACAGGATCAACTACATAGCAATCTTGCGCTTTTAACCGACATATTTTTTATTGTCAGCACATTTCTTCCCCATTTTGTGCAAACTAAGGTTTTTCTTTGTTTTATTCTTTTTGTTTTGCGCGTAAAAGAATAATATTGTTTTCCTTCTCTATTTATTTTTAAATATCAAAGTAATATTTTGGCAATCAAATTTACTTACAAATTTGATTGCACATGAAAGAAATAAAGTTGGGTCAAACCAATGGTTTGTATTGTAGCACTTTTCCCTTCAACAAGTGAAAATTCTGCTTTTAAATACAGTCTATGTACACCTATCACACTATTAAAATTATTTTCATTCATATACACATTATTTCTAGGATTGCATATATTTAGGATGAGCGATTTATGCAGTCTTTGAAATAAAGCAAAAATTAATGTAAAGTGGGGTTAACATAATGCTCGATTTTAAGGGTTAAGTTTCTAGCAAATATCTATATACGTATTAAATTTCAGCTATCTTCAAGGGTGTGGAAGTTTTGTAAACAAAAAAAGTATCCACGGACGGACGAACGGACAGAATGAAACTAATAAGCACTTTATTTCAAAAAATTTTTGGAAAAGTGCTAAAAACAAGGTTTCTTTTCCTATCGTGCATTTTTTTGTTGTGTATATATAGATTATAATGTCATACAAAAAATAGTTTTTGTAATTACACAACAAACTACCTTTTTGAGGGGCCCGGGTGAATACTAAGTTTTTACACACTCTACATTCGTGAATGTACCAATATACTTTCAACACAACTCCAAAACGTAATTTTAAATATTCGGAAAAATAAAAAAGCCAACTGCATGAAATTTTGTAGTCGCGTGTATAATTACAGCCCAGATACCACTCAAAAAACTAGTTCTATTTTGTAGTTACAAAAAGTGTCTTCTGTATAGTGCTATAAACTATATATACATAAAGCTAATAATAATTTTTAAATTGAAAAGAAAATTTTTAAATAAAAGTGATTAAAATTTACGCCTAGTCAGCTTGGCAATTGATTTAATAATCAGGTATCAATTAAGAAATTACTTAAAATTTTCTATTTCAATGAATTCGTTGGTTATGAAATTTCTGTCGTCCATTTTTAATCGAATATTTTTTTGGAATTTTCACCGAAGACAAGTACCTCATAGACTTAATAGAACTAGATACTATCATAGTGCACGTCTATTAGACGCCTAGGCTTCACTGATAAGTCTATTACAAACTTAAGGTAGCTCTCTTTCCGAGAGAGCTAGTCTAAGAAAGAAATTCTGATGCAATTCGACCAGAAAACATTCTGATTTCTTATGACTAAATTTTTCCGATTGATAATTAGCATCTAACAAAATGTACGCGAACCTCTACACTATTTGGAAGTTTGGTTTATATATAAGTATATAATACAATTTATGTATGTGTGTGTGCATAAGTATATGTATATCTACCAGGCCACCAAGTTGAAATTATTCTCCAATCCCGATCGAAATATTTCTTTTTTTGAAAATTTTTGAGTATGTATATTGTCAAATGTCTCCTAGAAATATTACAAATATTTTTTTTTCTTAATTAGAAAACACAAATAATAAAAGTATTTTTTTTTTTAATTTTTAATTAAAAATTTTTAAGTAAATCAGTATATATTTGGAAACAGGAAAGGAGAGATGCTTTAAAATTTGAAATTAATTTGTTTTTTAAATGCACATCTAGAATCAAGCGAATTTGCAATAAGATTTTTTAAATTTGAACATTATATAAACTATGCGAGATAGAGTAAGAAAAAAAATATAACACAAATTTTCGAGAAATTTCGAATCTAAAAAAATAGTTCAGATTTCAACAAGCTTTATCTCGTAAAGTATGGGTCAAATCAAATACTTATGTAGAACCTGCACAAATCAAGAATATTATTGAATTTTTTTCACACAAAAAATTTTGAACAACGCAATTCATAAAAAATTGAAAACTATCTATCACTATTTATCAGTCAGGTCACTATACAAATTACATTCAATATTATAACTTAATATGCACTTTTTTAAAACCATACTGAATAAAGTGAATCGCAAAGAATACTCAAAACGTTCACAAAAAAAATAAAATAATATTTCAATCGGAATACTTCGAAAACATAAAATATTAAGAATTGTTTTTTTTGGTAATTTTTTATGATTGCAAAATTTCGGAAAATAATACCAGTTTGGTGGGTTAACAGATGTATATGGCGTTATATCATGCACTAGCCCTATGCTCCTCCTAGGAGTCAAGAAGGAAAAAAAAAACAAAAAAAAAAGAAACACTATATAATAAAAAAATACAAAGTTATTTTTAAGTTTTGGATCACTATTTTATAAAAAAAATGAAATTTAAAAAAATTTTATATTTCATTTAAATTATAATGTTTTAAAAGTTTAAGTAAAGTATACTTCAATTTTTAGATACACCGTTTGCTTTATTCTTGCTTATGTTTTGCGTTTACATACTTAAAACTTTGGATCAGTTGATATTATAAAAATTCAGTTATCGTTTTATTTACGATTTTGATGTTATTTTCGATCAGTTTACCAAACAATAAATTTTACAGCTTAAATTCTTTTTTATTGTTGTAATATGAAAATAAAAATTATCTTATTTTTAATTGTTTGCATTGTTGTTTAATTTAAATAATATTTTTTAATTTTTAATAACAAATATGTATATCAGAATACATCTAAACATCAAGTAGTACAATCATCTTCTTCTGGAAAATCTATCTTCAGTACTGGTTTTAGGTATACTGGCGGACATTTAGTAAGTGCAACTACGAGCTACACAGTAGAAAGCAGACGAGTATATTTGTTTGAAGGATTAATTGGCAAAGAACGTTCAGGTTTGTGGGATCATATGCAATTTTGGGAAGATGCATTTTTAGACGCTGTAAGTCAAGAGAGAGAAATGATCGGTATGGATCAGGTAAATCAGTCATATTTGTGTTACATCAAAATGCATATTGCAATCTATCATAAAAATACAGGGTCCAGGAGAAATGATGGAGAGGTACAAAATGCTTAGTGAATCTGAGAGAAAACGCTTGGAACACGAAGAGGATAAATTACTATCGACGATGTTATACAATCTAACAGCAATTTTAGTAATGTTAAACGTTAATAAAGAAGAAATCAAAGTTAAAATTCGAAGGCTTTTAGGGAAAAGCCATATCGGTTTAGTGTACTCTCAAGAAGTTCATCAGCTTGTAGATCAAATTAAGCACTTGGTATTTAATCAAAAGAATCATATTACTAAGGGTATCAAACAAAAATAAAAATATGAATTTAACGGAAAAATTGAAACATTCATGCAAAGATATTCATGATGTACAAAACCGAATTAAATAATTTCTGTTTGAATATCCGAAAATAGTACATGCATATCTACTTTGTCTTTAGTAAAGGAGTAATTCTTAGAAGATAATAGGCACAAAACTTATTACTGCCTATAAAAGCTTTAGAAATTTGCAATAGTGTATTTTTAGGAGACTTACATATCGCATACACATGTTTTTGAAAACTCTACTTTTTTATGTTAATTAATATATTAAGCCACTTTCAACTTTATAATTACAAAAATAATACAATTAAAAACCTAAAGGTAACCTAAAGGTACAAAGATATATTTCAAATTATAATATATGATTTTGAATACATATTTATTTTTCACTTGATAAACAAGTATATGCCTATGTATGTACATATGTAAAACGAATTGTTTTTTACGAATTTTTCCATGGTATTGTTTTTGAGAACCATAGATTTTTCAATTGAACTATTGATATATAAAGATTGATATTATTATATAAATTAACAAAAATTTTTCTAAATATTCTAAAAAATTTAGAACGCAAATGACATTGACTTAAAGCCTTTTGCCTCAAGATTGCAACATCGAAGAACTTTTGCAGTCCATCAAGGTATAGATACCTCAACACCTTTGTGTTTTATGGAAGTCAGAGACGACGGCCTTATTTTACGATCACTAAATGGGGTTATAATCGAAAGATGGCATTTTGAAAGATTGGTTAACATGACTTATTCTCCGAAAACTAAAGTTTTGTGCATGTGGAGGAGAAATGGTGGCCAACAAACCACTTTACACAAATACTACACAAAAAAGGTAAAAAACAGTAAAAGGTAGTTCAAAATTTATTAACTATTTTTGCAGTGTAAGGATGTATATCAAGCCATAAAAGAGGCGATGGAGAGAGGAGCTATTCCTTCTAACATTCCTGAGCTTGGTGGTGAGTTCCCAGTTCAAGATTTAACAACAGGAGAGGGTGGTTTGTTACAAGTGTGTTTAGAAGGCATTGGGCTATTATTTGCTAACAGCAAGGTAAATAAAAGTGTAAACATTTAAATATTTGCAAACCATGGCTGAGCGAAATTCAGACCTAAACTTTTTAAAAGAGTGACAAATCAAAGAGGACGAATTTACACGTATTCTTAAGTATGTCAAGATGGGCTCTTTTTAACATCATAAATGTCCCACCAACTTCTTTTAAATTTCTATTTAGACACAGTTAAAATTAAAGTTTTTTTCCTTTTATCAGAGCTAAAATTTTTATAGTTTTTTTATATTCATTTATTTCAAAAAAAAATTTAGTATTAAATTTTTCTATGTATTGCAAAAAACAGTCCAGACTCTATTCATTTTCTTAGGATTTCAGTTAATGCTACTCTGCAGAGAAAAAAAACAGGGACATTATTCTTTGAGATGTATAATGTTGACTTTTTTTGTTCTTTTTTTTTAATTTTTAAATCTGATCTGATATAATAAGTTCTATCTGATAAATAAGTTACTAATTATGTATGATTATATCTCCCATTTTTTCACACACTTGTGTACTCCCATATCCATATACATACTTATTACATATTTATTAGTTTATTTATTAATGTTTAACTCAAAAATTTTACAACAATTAAAGTTAAAGAACACATATATATATATATATATATATATATATATATATATATATATATATTTAAGGTAAAAAGAAGTTTTTTTATCGTGTCATTCGCCATTGAAAAGTAAAGTATGTTTTTGTGCTTTACATAAACTCAGCATCCCGTTTCTCATAATTGGCCGTTTCTCAGATCAGGAGAACGAGATCTAGAGTTAGAGTTAGGAACAATTTTATTTAAAATGTCGCGAGAGATTAAGTCAGTAAGCGCAGGGTGAACTTCAAAAAAAATTTTTTAAATATATGTACTAAATGTAGGTCAAGTAGATGTACTAAATATGTAGGTCAAGTAACGTTTTTATAAACAATAATAAGCTTGAAGCAGCCATATAAACAGGAAAATAGATATCACTACATCATATTGTGTAGCTACCTTGAATAGATACGTACTGTATAACAAAGTATGAAATTTTAAATTTATAACTATTACTTTCATACATTCGAATGTTTTTACCTAAGTTTTATGAAATGAAAAATAAAAGATTAAAAAAAGAAATTTTGTTGTTATCAAAATACAAATAACAAAAGTTTTACCTTACTTAATTTAATGTTATTTCAGTTCGATGTTTTTGATACACTCGTTTGTTTACGATATTTTGCTTCTTTCTTGCTTACAAAAATCTTATTACCCTCTATTTCGAAAAAAATGCATTATTGCAAACAAACGAAAAATAACGGAATGGAACAAGTCGAACGACTTTTTTTATAGACATACTTAAGTTATAATTTTCTTAACGTTTAAAGTTTTTTTAAAATTTCTAAAATAAAATTTAGTGTTTTAAACGCTGTAAATTTGTCAGCTGGGAATTTCTGTCAGCCGTGATCAAAGTTCATAATTTTCATAATAAGTCTTGTTTTTTAAAAGAACACAAAAAACATATAAATAAGAGAAGAAAAAACACAAATGTATACACCATGAATCTAATAATGCATGAATAGCCCGCGCTAATCTATTTCTTAATAAATTAAATAAAGTTGGGTCAAACCAAAGGTTTGTATTGTAACACTTTTGCCTTCAACAAGTAAAAATACTGCTTTTAAGTAATACAGTTTATATATACCTACCACACTAATTATTATTAATTACCTACCACATTAAAATTATTTTCATTCATATACGAAACTATTTCTGGGATTGCATATATTTATGATGAACGATTTATGCAGTCTTTGAAATAAAGCAAAAATTAATATAAAGTGGGGTTGACATAATGCTCAATTTTAAGGGTTAATTTTGTGAATTAAGGAAAATAATTATATTTTTTAATGTCATGGAATTTACGGTTAGCTTTTCGCATTTATAGAAATTTTAAAAATCTTGCGGTTTCGGAAATATAACGTGTCAAAAATTCAAATTTACAAATTTCAAGAGGCGATAACTTGAGAGGGGGTGGACATGGAAAAAAATTTTTTTTGTAGAGAAATGAAGCATTTATTAGTGTCTAAAAGCCCCTAAAATTTCAAGCTTCTGCATGCTGGGGTGTAGAAGAAAAACGGAATCAAAAATTTCGAAAAAACGGACTTTAGATAAATTATTATAAGGACTTTAGATAATTTAGATGGTAAATTTGAACGGCCATTTTGTTTTTCTAAAGTTTGACTATAGTATGCCACGATAGGAGAAGCAAGCTGCTGCCTTTCTGTGTTTGCAAAATGTGAAAAATGCTTTTGGTTTCATTGCAACAAATAGTTAAAAAAGGCCATTTTTAGGGTTTTGGGGGGGTATAACTTTCAGAGGGGGGGAGATAGGTAAAAATTTTGTTCTACGGAAATAAGTTTCTGGTAAAGGTCTATGTATGTATTAAATTTCAGCTTTCTATCTACAAGGGTGTAGAAGTTTTATAAACAAAAAAAGTGTCCACGGACGGACGGATGGACGTACGGACGGACAGAGTGAAACTAATACGCACTTTTTTTCAAAAAATTTTTGGAAAAGGGCTAAAAATTAAGTCAATATAAAATACCTTCCCATATGTAGAGATCATAACGCAGTATGCCTTTACATCAAATTGACAATGTGAAAGTTTATGTTTGAGGAAATTTTAACATTAACATAGCGTCTTATTTTCAATGCAACCAAATTGTAGGCTATTTTAAGTTATTATTTATATTTTCGTTTTCGTAAAAGGGAAAAATATTTAAGTTTATATTTTCTTTGCTAATATTACTAAGAAGAATTTTCTGAACAAATTAACTTTTATTTAATTTCCAGTAAGGAAAATGTTTAAAAATATTTAAAATATCAATTTTATTAAAAAGAAATATATATATATTTTTTTTGATTTGTGAACATAAATCTAAAAATTATAGAACATTTTTTTAAATACTGTTACATTTTTTGTAGTTCAAATATTTTATTTTAAACATCTTTGAAGTTGTCTATTGTTGAACACATACACATTTAATATCTCCTTTTAGCTGTTATATAGTCTAATAGACTAATTAAACATACAAATCTTTTAAAATACCAGTATTTCAAAAGTATTTAACAAAAACGATAAATGAACAGAAAACAAAACGATTATATACGTTTTATAGAAATGGAAAGCTTTAAGATACCCTGCACAGATAACTCATAAATGTACACATAAACGCAAAACTAATTTCTTAATGGTAACTTCTGTTTGCTAAGTTTAGAGCGGATATGTTTTAAGGATTTTTTAATATATGATTTTTTAATGTAACTGTAATCAATGATATTTAAAAATTCAATGAGTGTTTTTTATTACACTAGCTTGTGTATAAAGATTATAGCGTTTTTGAGGCGACTTATACCTTTATTCCTTTCATTTAACTTTAAGGTTTTCGAAATTCATTAGTAAGCGCATTTGTCTCTGTTTTTAAAATATAATATGAATTATTATTATGTACACTCCCGTAGTGACAAGTATTAAATAAACTATTAAAGAATTTAAGAAAAAAAATGCAGTGATAAAGTTAAATTTATTACTATAATTAGTATGGGAACATAACTTTAAAAAGAGTACTAGTACTTGAGTATGTAAAAATTAGAATTTATTATGAAGGAAAACGATTAACATTAGATTTAAGAAAAACTGTTTTGTTTTCCGGTCAATAATTCAAGGTAATACACATAAACAATACACATATACAGAAATATTAGGTTCTTATTTAAGAAATATTAGCCTAAGATAAAACCTGAAAAAAGCTTTAAAAAGAGAAAACAGAACGAAATTTTTAAGACAAAAAAATATTCTCATGCAAAAAAAAAGTAAACCAGACGGAAAACTTGAAAAAAACTTTTAAAAACTTTATAAACATATGACAAACGTCAAATTTCAGTATTTTTCAAACATAAACAGATATTTTTTGGTTATACCATAAACCGAAAATTTTAATTTTGGATTATAAAAGTGTGAAACTTAGAAAACCGTTTGTTAACCCTTTCGTTTTTTTATAACCTGCACTTCGTGAAGGGTATATTAACTTTGGTATGGAGTTTGAAACTACTTGAAGCAGTCATCTGCGGTATGGACATATATATACATTCTTGCTCAGCGTAAAATTCTGCGTTGATTTAGACATGTCCGTCCGTCCGTCCGATCGCACGATAACTCAAAAACGAATAATGCAATCGACACCAAACTTTCACAAATTGTTTCTTTTGTGACAAGGACGAACCCTATTGTTATAAGACACATTCGGGTAGCTGCCATACAACTCAAAGAGTTTATTTTAATTATTTCAAAAACTAATAAAGGTACAAACATAAAATTTTGTATACGTGTGTCCAATTATATTCTACATCTGCTCTAAAAATTTTAATGAGATAGCTGCACCGGTTCGGATAGCTGCCATACAACTCCAAAAGCAAATTTTTTATACTCGGCAAAATAATAAAGTCAGATTCATTAAGCTTGACAGTTGTGTGTCCAATTATAGGTCAAAGATATTTCTGAAGTTTTGGTGGAATTGCTTGACAGGTTCGAGTGGCTCCCATACAAGTTCAAAAGCTTATTTTAAATATTTGGAAAAATAATAAAGTTAGATTCATGAAACTTGGCAGTTGTGTGTCCAATTATAGGTCAAAGATATTTCTGAGGTTTTGGTGGAATTGCTTGACAGGTTCGAGTAGCTCCACACAAGTCCAAAAGCTTACTTTAAATATTTGAAAAAATAAAAAAGTTAGATTCATGAAACTTGGCAGTTGCGTGTCCAACTATAGGTCAAAGATATTTCTGAAGTTTTGGTGGAATTGCTTGACAGGTTCGAGTGGCTCCCATACAAGTCCAAAAGCTTTATATTACTAATATTATTGCTTATGTGTATTAAATTAAATTATTGACCGGAAAATAACACTGTTTTTTTTTAGATGTTAGCGAATATTTTTTTTAAATTTAATTTCTAGTAATTTTCACATAATCAGATGATAAGAATAATATTCTTAATTAATTTAATATGTGATTATCGTGCGTTCTTTAACACAACAATTTTTTTTCATGTTTTCCTTAATTTAATGTAATAAAACACTCGTCGAATTTTTAAACTGATTTTGAATTTCATTGATTTAAGTTGCATTAGGGTAAAGTCGTCTTATGATAATACATGGAAATATCATATATCACAAAATGCTTGAAACATACCTGCTTTAAACCAATTGTTGTTTGGATTATTTTCCATCTAACAAACAGAACAAACAAGTAGTTATCAATAAGAAGTTATTTTTGCATCTTATGTGTTATTATAGCATTTTATAAGCCTTCCCTCTATCATATCCCTCTATCTATCATAAAGTTTTGTGTTAATTTATCGTTGTTGTTAAATATTTTTAAAATACATATTTGAATATACAGTTTATTAACAGAAACAGTTTTAAAAGAAGAATATGTGTTCAACAATAGGCAACTTCAAAGATGGTCAAAGTAAATCTTTGAACTGCAAAAAATGTGAAACAGTATTTTAAAAAATGTTTTATTATTTTTAAATTTATGTTCACAATTCAAAAAAAAATATTCTTGCTAATAAAGTTAATTGACAACTACTTCATGATTTTACCACAAAATATAAATAACTTAAAATAGCCTACAATTTGGTTGTATTGAAAACAAGATACTATGGTAATGATAAAATTTGACATTGTCAATTTGACGTGAAGGTATGAAGGTACACCGCGTTATATGGGAGTATACTTTATGTATTGGCTTCACTTTTTTTATTAAGAAATATACATACATATGTACATATAAGGGCTGGCTATTCAGGTAAAATGAATTTTCATGTTGAAAAAATGGAAAATTTCATTTCCAATATGTTTCAAATAAGTTTTATAAAGTTTTTTCTGGTGAATCTGCAAGAAAATAAAAATTTTGATTCTATTACCAAAGAAATTAGAAAACTTTGATGGAAATTTTGTAAAAAATTTCGATGGGGGATAGTTGATGTAACTTGATTTACCAAAATCTGACATTTTTCATTTCTCATTTTTGTCTGAATTTTTCTGTTAGCTTTAATTAACGCCTTAGTTCCATTGACATCGTTATATAGACATATGTAGAGTAAAATTCATAAACTGTAAAGTTATTCATCTTGAGTTTTAAGAATATTCTTTTGTTTTTAAAAAAATGTGCATCAATTTATTTAAAAGAGAAAATAATTTTTTTCACTCGTCTTTCTTTTCAGTTTTTCATCCGATTAGATCACATACGAAAGTGCTTTACACAAAAAGGTGGTGTTTTCATTTTGGAAGAATATAGTAAGTTTTAAAACTACACAAACAATCATCGCACCATTTAATTTTCATAACAAGTTTTAAAATTTTTTAGCAGCCATAAAAGAACACTAAAAATTTTTATTATTGCATGTAGATACATTATGTACATATTTTAATTTAATTTTAAATCCACACATAATTGATTACACAAAAAAGTTAATTTATACTACGTCGTTGTCTTCTTACGCTATAAAAAATAATATTGAAACTACTATTGGCAAAATACAAAAATTAATTTCAAAGCGCTAATTGTAGTCATAAGAATAATGAAACTAATAGTTTTACGGAAATATTAAAAAGAATTAAACTTAAAGATTTTAATTAAACAATATGCAATATTTCAAACTGTTAATTTTCTTTTTGATTGAACATTTTACATTTATAGGTACAGTTTATAGGTTACATAAGTTATAGGTTACATTTCTAGGTTATATTGCTCGTTTTACATTTTGCGCAAAATATTTTTTTTCCATCCAAAATAAGTTTTCCGAACATGTGATTCATAATAAAACAAAAATTTTCTGAAAAATGTTTCATATGAATTTCATAAAGTTTTTCTAATGAATATACTCGTAATATGAGAAAAAAAGAACTAATGCCTTTTGACGCGAAAAATTTGAAAAAATTTTGTTGAAATTTCCACCAATTACCAATGGGTTCAACCAAAGATTTTAAAAACATTAAAAGATTATTTTTAATGTCTTTGTTTCAACCTAAAATCTCAACCACAATAAAAAAAAATCGTGGGAGCAAAATTATACTTCATTGTCATTCCAGTTAGGCCTTTAACGCTGTGCCAACGACCAAATTTTCGGGAAAACGAATTGAAAGGAAACGAACGGAAACGGTAGATTTCAATTGTATTTTCGCTATTAAAAGAAAGTATGTATTGTTTTTTTCTTGTATGTATTGTTTTATGAGTTGTATGTATTGTTTGAAAGTATGTATTGTTTTATGAGTTTAGTACAGTTTAACAAAAGTTATTAACAATTTTATGAGACCATGATTGTGAAACCTTTGAAACCTTTTGTATTTTAAAAGAAATTCATCTTTACCGTATAAAATCGACCTAATTTTTGTGAAAGGAACTTTTATTTTCCAGTTTCCTTGCATGAACGGAGTAACTTAGAAAATCAGTTTTAGTCATTTGTAGAATTTTTAATTGCATATTTACTGCAATTTCTTCTTTTAATTAATAAAACTTCTAATATTTCGTTAGAAGTTGTATTAAATAAAGTGGACTATGTATTTCAATTTCTTTTGAATATTTGTCTAATGCAGAATGAACCGCATCAACTTCCTGAATATTTAAGTATTGAAGTTACGAACACTTTTGCATTATTGTTTTTTTCTTAGAATATTGCTTCAGAAAACTTTTCAATGCTTACGAATTTCTTTTATTTTTATTTAAATTTAGTCATATTTGGAAAATCATTAACAAATTGTTTTAAAATTTTTACCAATGCTTTACATATATCATTACCAAACCATTCGGAATAAACTTTAGAACAGAACAGCAGGTGACCGGTTGTATGCAGATGCCAGTTAAATTGAATGTATTAATTTTTCGCATATGGTAAAATTTAGATTCGTTTCCTTTGGTAATGCAAAAACGTTTTGCAAAGTCGTAACATACAACGAATTAGAAATACTAAAGGAAGGAGCATATTTGTTTCTATCTCGCTTACACTCCCTAAAAAATCGTATCTTGAAAAAAAACATAGTGAAGCTAAAAACTTCAGGTAAGTCTCTTTCTTTGCTCCGAGCTTTGTCAAACTGAAAATAACATTAAATGCCAAATGTTGTTTTTTTAATTAGAAAATTACGCGCCGCTTTATAAAAAGTAAACAAAGAAGATTTTGTTATATTGTTTACAAAATTAGTGCGGTTTGTAAATAAAAAAATATAAAATTTTTAATAATAAGTGTTAAAAAAGAATTCTATTTTATAAAAACTTATGTAACAAGTGAAAAAAAGAAAAAAGTCTGTTGAAAAAGAAAAAGGTGTGTAGTATTAAATTGTTATTAATTGTAAAAACAAATAGCTTTATTACAACATATACATGTGAATTTTATTCATTTCAATAATTAAAAGAAAAATTTATTCAATAGTTCTTTGATTAATTCATGGTTTCTAATTTTATTAAGTTTTATGAAGTTTTATTAATTTTGCAAAGAATACATATGTTTTTGTTTTGTTTTCAATTAAAATTACTTCTGATGCCATAATTTTATCAGGACTGGATTTTTTTTCTAAGCAAAATTAGTTTGCGTTTGATAAAATATAGCATACATACAATATTTTAATTTGGTATATTTTTTTTAAATATAATTACAGTTTTCCTAGAAGTAATAAAATGAAAAGAAGGTGGATTGGAATTATCACTTAAGAAGTTTGCATTCAAAATATTTTACCAAAATTTGTAATTTTATAATTCATAAAATAAATTTATTCAAAGAGAAAAAAAAATAAATTAGTTTTTTTTACATATATTTAAAATGAAAAATATTTCGAAATATTTTTTAGTTTTTACTTAAAAAAAAAGTTTTAAGTTATCTTTCTTACAAATTACACATATTTTATAGTAGAGCCCATGTAAGAAAATAAAATAAATACGCTCCTGTTACGACTTTGACAATGCTCAGAGCAAAAAAAAGAGACAACTAGAAAGAATTTGGTTCATTGTTTTTTCAAGATGCCCCTTCCTTTAGTATTCCTAATTCGTTGGTAACATATAACTGCAGGTTTTTCATCTATGTTCCATCTATCCAAATTTCTTTCAGCTCTGCAAGCATTTTTTTTGTTCGTTGTTCATAAACGATTTTTCCCGTCTCAGTCGGAGCTAGGTTTTTTTTGAACAAAAAATGCTTATTACAGATGTCTTTCATTGGCTTGTAGAAAAAGATATTGTATTCATCATGAAAAATTTTTCTGTACATATGAAGATATTTTCATCGAATTTTCACATTATTCCAGGCACAAATGATTTTCATAATATTTAGTAACATTTTCGACAAATTGACTTTAGTTATTTAGTAAACCCTACGAAGGTACGGTTTGAAAACTTTCAATTTGTTTTTTTGCTGAATTGAGTTGTTCTTCTGAAACTTCCTTTTCAAATTGTTTTTTTTTGTACTGAATCGTGGTGTTCTTCTAAAACTTGTTTTTTTTATATATTTTCCTTTCTTAAAGTCGGGCATCCAGTTTTTTCATCAGATAAATTAGTAAAATTATAACAAATTCTTGACTTGTTTTTTTAAAAAAATGGGAGCAACACGATGAACAAGATCATTTAATTTAAAGGTAAAAATATTTTAATACATAAAGAAACAAGTGTGTTTAGAGCCAATTTTGATTTGCTTTTTCTCATACATCTTTCCCGCTTCACCAACATAAGACTGTCCTGATTCTCCAGGGTTCTTTTTGATATTTCGCTTCCGTAATTATCGTTGCCTGTTTTTTTCTTTTTCTTGGTATTGGTGTCAAATTTGTTCTAACACTAAAAGGTAACTTAGCCAAGCACATTTTAACCGTTAGATTGAATAGAAAGTATATTATTTTTTGAATCCAGCTTGAGGATTGCAGTTTGATCTTTACCTCTTACTATGTACTTAGTTACTTTTAACTATTTTTGACACACGTACAACATACAGAAATTTTTTAGGAAAAGAACGAAAAATATCTTTCAATATAGTTTAAAATAGTCATCCGAAGTTCAAAGAAAAGTTAATTGTCTATCATACTGTTTTAGGCAATGAAATAATGGAAACCTGTTCAATTAAAATTAATAATCTAATAATCTTATAGAATTTCCATAAAAGGAAATTTTCAATATGTCCTCCACGACTTAAACGTCGAGCTCATTCAGTTGCAAAAACCTTTTTAAACAATTTAATCGATGGTAAATACCAAAAGATTTTCCACAAACTGTAAAAAAACATGTAATGATTAGTGATAATACTGAATTTTTTTAAACTCCCGATTCTTTTTACCTTGTAAGATGTGCAAGCCATGCTTTTTGTTTTTATATTATTACGATAAATTTAATTATATAATTTTTGTAATTAAGTAACGAGTAAAAAATAAAGTTATATTTTTTTTTTAATTTTGCATCCGAACACCGTACATAGTACAATTAATTTCAACTTATAAAATAAATATTATTGAAGAATACGCTCATTTTTCATTTTTAACTTTAAAGTCAAAGAAAAGAGATTTATACAGGGTGATCAGTAATCAGTGACATAAAGTATACCATCATTTAGAGCATCTAAAATGAGTAAAATTTTGTTCAGAACTAGGTGTTCTCTTAACGGTTTCTGAGGTACAGGGATTTTAAAGAATTTTCATGAAATTTCTACTTACCCAAGTTTTTTTAACACTATGTTCCGATAAAAAATTCTACTCATTTTCGACCATCTACCCGGTTGCATATGGGTCCTACCTTGTCGGTGAATCACCCGTATACAAAATGTCTTTAAAATGCGTTTAAACTTCTAACAATTTTCTTCTATAAAAAAAGAAGTTATAACTCTGTGTGTTATAATTCTGTCTAACTACGTGTTATTACTCTCACTTCTAGAAACGGATACTATTTAGGTACAAATTACCCTCACAAAGCATCCATCATTTTTCACACCAAAAAATGCCAATTTTATGTTATTAAAAAGTTTATAAAATTTTGAAAAACTTTTGTATACCAGGCAGACTTTTCTTCCAATCAGTTGTTCTTGTTTATCTAATGGAGATATAGTATTTCTGTTTTGTTGGTTTTGTTTTTTTTTTTTTTTGAAACTAGACCTTTTGTTCTTTTATACATATGTATATTACTAGATATTAGATACGTATATTACTAGAACAGAATAAAAAATTTCTTTTTTAACATTTTCCTATTCAAAATTTTTCACAATAATATGAATAAAATAATTTAAATGCGTCACAACGATATGAAGAAAATATATAAGTATATGTATGTATGTATGTATGTATGTATTTTTTTTTAGATCCTAAATCGAAAAGTGTTGTGCAGAGAAAATATCAATCAGCTATGGTAATAAATTTTTATCAACAGCATCTGCAATTTTATATTCAATTTTGAAATTTTTAAGGCTGACCAAATTTGTTATTCAGTGCTGTGCGTTTTTTCATATGTTGCTGCTGGCAGTGACAAGCAAAGCGATGTTTCATTATCCAAATCAGAAAACACTGCAAAATTAAGCCACCAGGAGACCCATTTAAAACGACAAAAGAGTGATGAAACAATACCAGCAGAAAAAGTATCTATATCGTCTGATGAAAAAATAGTATCCAAACAAAATCAACAACACTTAACTTTCGCAAAGATAGTAGCAAAAAAGTACGCAAGTCAATCACCTGAATCTAGCAAAACGTCCCTTTTAAATAATACCGAGACACAATTGGGAAATATATCTTCAAATTTTAAGACTTCTGAAAATATAAAAAATTTTTCAAATTCCCCTTCAATTGTTCAAAAAACGAATGAAATAAGGCGAGCAGGATCGGTTCATGAAGTTGAAACTAAGCTGCCTGCCAGACAGCTAACAAGACAGTTGTCTGCCAATTCAATACCACCTCAATTTATTCCTAAACCACCCCCTCCTTTTGTAATACCTTTGAGGCGACCATCAAAAACAGGGTCAATTTTGCAGCTAAAACCAAGTAATTCCAAATTTTAAAAACAAAATGCAAAAATTATTAATCCAATACCGATATTTAATGTGTAAGTGGATTTATTTCACTAATAAATATTTATGTGAAACAGAACGAAAAAAAGCCATACATACGTAACGAAATCACATTTGGTGGAAATGAGTATCTACAATAACCTTAAAAATAATGGAAAATATAAATGAATTATTTAAAAAATAGATCCACAAAAACAATAAAAACAGTTTTATAGATAATGGCTCTTTAAATTTGGCAGTGTAAAAAGAACCATTTGTACAATTATATTCTGCTGCTTAAAGTTACATAAATAGAGTGCGCTCACATTATGTTCCGAATTGGTAGAACGAATAAAAAGAAATAACGAAAAATTTCCGAATAACTGAAGAGCTGCAAATTTTCCACCTTTCTATTTAAAATAAAATCAGCAAATATACAATAGCACAACAATGTTACTGTTAATTTATCAGTTTTTAAAAAATTATGTATATGTTTTATAAATTATTTTTTTGAATTTTTTTATTTATAAATTCTAAGAATTTGAATTTAAATTGATGTATAAAAAATAAAGTTTTGTCTATGTTAAAATATCAATAAATAATTAATATTTTTCTTTCTTATTTGCTCTTGTTATTTGAATGGCCTCTTTAGCAAAAATATAAGACACACAATTTTAGCCCCTTATTATGATTTGCGAAGCGAATAAAATTTTTGTCGAATATGAATTTTTGGTATTATGATTAGCAAATTCGCCCAAATATAAGGCGAATGAACTGTCAAATCTGTCGAATGAAAATTCTGTGTGACAAGCTTAGCGAATGAAACCGAAAATCAATATTACAATTATATAATAGCATTATAGTGATATAACGGAAAAATCTAAACTATCAGTAAAGTAAGTTCATAAAATTCTACAAATTATTGTGAAAAATATTGATTGTTTAATATTGATTTAAACGTGAAAAAAACGAACCAAAAACGATTCGAGCATATACATAGTTAAATTAATGGAGAACAAGCCCGACATTACTAAAGAGATGGTAAAATTCAATTGTTTTTGCAAAAAAGCATTTAAAAGATTTTGGATCTGGCGAATAAAGCAGTCGCCGATCATAATTTAAATTGTCATTCGATTCGCCTAGTCCATTCGACTCGCCTAGCTATTCGCTTTGCCGATCATAATAAGCGTATTAAACGGTATTTTAGTATATTCACCCAACTTTTTTTTTACACGGTAGATACGTCCCAACGAAAACCGTGTAAACAAAAAAACGTGTAAAAAAGACATGCTACTCATATTAAAATTGAGGATGTGTTTCACAATTTTGAAAACCCGTGTAAGATCAAAAAAAAGTTTTCGGTTGACCTAAAAACCGTGCAAAAATATTAATATACAATACAAAAGTATAATATAAAAAACCAACAACTATTGTAATGAAAAAAAAACATATACATATTTAATGTACAATATTAATATTAAAAATAAAATACAGTTCAGGTATATTATGATTAAAAAAGTATAAAATAAATAATAAACAAAATATAATTCAAACATATTAATATTAAATTTACGCAATAATACTTCCTTTTTGTTGTAATTAAATCCAAACAGAAATTATATTGGCACTAAAACTTATAAAAAACAAATATTGTTTTCTTGAAAAACAGACAAATATAAAGTGCGACTAAAAAAATTCTGAAAATTTCCCCAGTTATATTTTTTTTTATAACTGGGTGTACAAAATTTTTTCTGAACATCGTGTTAGAATAAATATTTCGTGTAAAAAAACATATTTTTTGCTTTTTGTGAATCGTGTTACTTCAAAATCGTGTAAAAAAAGACCGTGTAAAAAAGAGTTGGGTGTATTCTTTATTACATTTCCGAATATATAGAATTAGCATTTGGAGTTGTATGGCAGCTACACAAAACAGTCCAGGCATTCCATTTAAATTTTCAGAGCATATGTAAAATATAATTGGACATACCTTTTTTGATATTAAACCTCGTAAATTTGATAATAATACCTCTATTTGTTTTTAAAATATTTAAAAAAACCTCTTTGAGTTGTATAGGGGTTTTCATTTATTCAGCGCTTGAATAGTTATAGCATGTAGTACGTTCGAAAATTAACGCTACTTAAACTGAAAATGTAGATCGTTCGTATATTATTGGCTGTAATAAAGTGCATTCGGAAATTCATTCTGTAATAAAGAAATGTCAGCAAGGTAGCGCAAGCCTCTAGTTAGCTTTTGCCGCTGTCATGAAATTTTTTTTAAATTTAAAATTGAAGAAAATTTTAAATTTCAAAATGGCAGATTTACATATATATTTAAGGGCTATTAAAGTAAGTCTTTTAAAATTTCCTTGTTTTGCAGCAAATTGGGAGGCGAAAAGTATTGGGATACAATTTCACAAACCATGTCATTTCTGTTATTTTCGAACGACTGATTATTTAGAAGTTTCAGAATTTGTAGGCATAAACAAAAAAACTTAGCTAAAGTTTTTGCATACTGTTTAACGCTATAACTTAAATTTTATTGCACGATTGGATGTAAGAATATGTATAGCAAAAGCGAAAATATTTCGCAGTATTATAACATTTTTTTTCAAACTTTCAGATTCAAAAAAAAATTTTTGGTTGAATAAAGCTGCCTTGGAATTTGTATTTCCCTTATTTTTTCTACTGATTTTGGAATTGAAACGGAAACAAATATCATACACATTTATTTTATAATATTTGTAACATTACTTTTGAATAATAAAATAAAATACATTATTTTAAATTTTTTAAACAAACAATTTAAGCTTTCGAAAAACTTATATCTTTTGAGAAATTTCTGAACAAAAGTCGTTACGGAAATATTCATAATACAGAAATTGCTAAATTTTCTAAAAGCTTTTTAAAATTTCTCTTGAACAATAAAACTATCCCTGAATACTATTTATTAATTCTATTCATAAGAGCAATGTTCAAAATTTTTTACTACTGCGCAGTCGACCGACCGTTACGGAACTCGATGGGTGGTTTATCGATATAATGAAACCTATATGCTTTTGAAAAACGGTTTAAAATTTTGAATAAAAGCCATTTGCTATTACATGTTTGAATATCTGGAAAAACCTTTGGCAATCCTTAATACTGCTTTAAATTAGTTACTTTTTTTGTACTGTAAGATACAGAAAGGGAAATTATATACAAAATAATTTTTTTTTTAATACAGGTGTTAAAAATCATCGAAAGATAGGCGGACTTTTTCAAATTTAGGCCTTTTTTAAATTTCAGTTAGTAGTGTCACCGCTGTTGCCAAATCGAACCAAATAGTACCAAATATATTGCACCCTGGATAAATGATAATTGTATTAAATTAATCAATATCATATTATACAAGGCAAATCCGACAGCGCAACTATCGCATATTTAAGTTTGTATTCTTCATCTTCGGAAGAATAACATAGAAAAAGAAAACGAAAAAAAAATTTAATATATTTTCATAACATGAATTATCATACGTATTACTCGTATATCGAAGCAAACTGTGCATTTAAAATTTTTTTACAAATGAGTTCGTACAAATTTTTCTTAATTTTAATAAAGATTTATTATTAATATATCATTAAAATTAAACCAAAACAAAGAAAAAAAAATATTTGTTTTGGGAACTATTCAAGAAAAACAAGTAAAAAAATGCACACAGTCATATTCGTACAGTTACATATACATATGTATGTATATGTAAAGGCGTCAATTCTTGAAAATAAATTATGCAATGTTTGTTTTGATAATTGCTAATAATTTTTCTTAGTTTGGATCAGTAATTAAAAGTGTTTGAATATATAATTTTTATTGCGTTTTATAGAAATACTACTTTAAATTAAACTATGGGTAGGAAATCGAAAGAAACTATTAACCTATTATAAAAATGGCAAATCACTTTCTGAGATTGATACTTCAGTGAAAGGAGTCATTCTACAATTCACAATATTATAAAACGTTATACCGATGAAAATAGAATACACAATAAACCACGAAATTTAAATAGAAAGCTTTTAAGCAACCGTACTCCTAAGCAAGTAGAAACAGTAAAGATTCAACTTTCAAAAGATTTCAGTGTAGAAACAGTTCGATGGATTATTAGAAATCTTGGTTACGAAGGTAGAGTTGCGAAAAAAATTTTTAATAATAAGGAAAACAGGATAAAGCACTTGGAATTTGCATGCCATCGCAAAAATCAAGATTTTGAGTTTTGGAAGCACGTAATTTTTACCGACGAAAGTAAATTTAATATTTTAGTTTCTAATGGCAGACAAATTGCTTGGAGAAAACTTAATTCAAATTTAAGATTGTCTTAAAGATAAATTTAAAAACAAATGCTGAGCGGTTTGGAATCAAAGAAAGTTTCAAATTTTATTAAGATAGTGATCCCAAGTACCTGCTCATAAAAGCCAAACATGGTAACTTTACAATTTTCCGAAAGTTTTACAGACCCAAATCTTCGGATATTGATATGATTGAAAATTTATGTGTAATTGATAACGAGTGTAAACATGCTAAAAACCAAATCAGTGAAAGAACGGGCTCAAAATTAGCCTGACATCACAAAAAAACCTATTGAATCTATGCCAAACTGATTAAAAGATTCAAAAAAATTTTTTTTTTTTCAATGGTTGATAATTTTTCCGAAATATAATTTTTTTTTTTTTATTGGTGTGAAAAGAAAACTTCCTTTTATTCGGAATAAAATACTTTTTATTTTTCGCTAATATATTTCGTGCGCTAAATACGCACTTTATCAAAGCTAATTTTCTTCTAATTAAGACAACAAACAATAAAAATTTAAATCTATTAAAATTAGGAATATTATACCTGACTTAATATAATCTACCTGACTTAATCTAGAATTTGATTATATATATTTTTTTTTTTTTTTTGTTATTATTTACAAACTAAATTTATACCTGTTTTAAACCTTAAAACTGGTCAAATAATTAATTTAAAGAGCCAAGTAGCCGCGTTACCTTCGTCCGTGTTTAGTAGGCAGTCCTTGTTTGATTTGTATATCTGCATGCTTTCATGAACTTCTCTCCTGTGTTTTCCTTTTACCTCTTTTAATACCTTTAAGTTATCTTCCGTGATTGTGTGATCCGTTTAACTTAAAGGTATTAAAAGAGGTAAAAGGAAAACACAGGAGAAAAGTTCTTGAAAGCATGCAGATATACAAATCAAACAAGGACTGCCTACTAAACACGGACGAAGGTAACGCGGCTACTTGGCTCTTTAAATTAATTATTTGACCAGTTTTAAGGTTTAAAACAGGTATAAATTTAGTTTGTAAATAATAACAAAAAAAAATATATAATCAAATTCTAGATTAAGTCAGGTAGATTATATTAAGTCAGGTATAATATTCCTAATTTTAATAGATTTCAATTTTTATTGTTTGTTGTCTTAATTAGAAGAAAATCAGCTTTGATAAAGTGCGTATGTAGCGCACGAAATATATTAGCGAAAAATAAAAAGTATTTTATTCCGAATAAAAGGAAGTTTTCTTTTCACACCAATGATTAAAAGATGTCATTAAGAATAAAGGCTATGCAACAAAGTACTTGACTTAAAATAAG